TATTGTTTTTATGTCCTAAAAATCTATTGAACAAAATGTAATACTTAGTAAGGTGACTCCATGTGGATCTATATAATTTCTAATAAGAACCCCTGTATGTCATCTTCTTTTGGCAATTCCAGCTGAGACAGTATTATATTAGGGAACAGAACACTTCTCCATGTGTGGCAAGCAAGTTACAGGCTTCACTTACAGAGTTACACAATCTACACCTTAGCTATTTGTCTTACTAAGTTTACTAAATTTTAAATTACATATATGGAACCTGTACAAAAATTATATTTTTTCCATGATTTAGAATAAGTTCAAAGATATTTGTAATATGATTCATCTGTACAATGGTCTGAAAGAACAACAAACGCTGATGGAAATTACACTAGTGTGTCAATAGTCTTCACTGGTCGTAAAGTCGGAGTCCTTATTGATCGGGATGTCTGGTCATGTCAGACTGACCGTTGGGTGGAGATCTAGCCATAACCACACAGCCTACTACACTGACCTTGTGGGGTGATAATTAAACCTAGCATGGTCAATAGCATACATTTGTACCTCCTAATAGGAGCCTGACTGTAACACACAGGTAATGATAGGGTAATGTCCATCTCTAGTTGTAAGTGATGGTCACACACTCACCCCAATATACTGATATACCCACTAGCCAGCCATATCATCATGATATAGGGCACTAATCCAGTCATCATGATACAGGGGACTCACCCAGTCATCACGATATAGGGGCCTAACCCAGTCATCATGATATAGGGGCCTAACCCAGTCATCATGATATAGGGCCCTAATCCAGTCATCATGATACAGGGGACTCACCCAGTCATCATGATAAAGGGGACTAACCCAGTCATCATGAGATAGGGGACTAACCCAGTCATCATGAAAAAGGGGACTAACCCAATCATCATGATATAGGGGTCTAACCCAGTCATCATGATATAGGGAACTAACCCAGTCATCATGATATATGGGCCTAACCCAGTCATCATGTTATAGGGGCCTAACCCAGTCATCATGATATAGTGGACTAACCCAGTCATCATGATAAAGGGGACTAACCCAATCATCATGATATAGGGGTCTAACCCAGTCATCATGATATAGGGAACTAACCCAGTCATCATGATATAGGGCCCTAACCCAGTCATCATGATATAGGGCACTCACCCAGTCATCATGATATATGGGATTCACACAGACATCATGATATATGGGACTACCCCAGTCATCATGATTTCGGGGACTCACCCAGTCATCATGATATATGGGATTCACCCAGTCATCATGATTTAGGGGACTCCCCCAGTCATCATGATATAGGGGACTAGGGACTAACCCAGTCATCATGATAAAGGGGACTAACCCAGTCATCATGAGATAGGGGACTAACCCAGTCATCATGATATAGGGGACTCACCCAGATATCATGATATAGGGGACTCACCCAGTCATCATGATATATGGGATTCACCCAGACATCATGATATATGGGACTAACCCAGTCATCATGATATAGGGGACTCACCCGGACATCATGATACAGGGGACTCACCCAGACATCATGATATAGGGGCCTAACCCAGACATCATGATACAGGGGACTCACCCAGACATCATGATATAGGGGCCTAACCCAGACATCATGATACAGGGGACTCACCCAGACATCATGATATAGGGGCCTAACCCAGTCATCATGATAAAGGGGACTAACCCAGTCATCATGATAAATGGGACTAACCCAGTCATCATGATAAAGGGGACTAACCCAGTCATCATGATATAGGGGACTCACCCAGACATCACGATATAGGGGACTCACCCAGTCATCACGATATAGGGGACTAACCAGTCATCACGATATAGGGGACTAACCAAGTCATCAAGATATAGGGGACTAACCCAGTCATCATGATATAGGGGACTAACCCAGTCATCCTGATATAGGGGACTAACCCAGTCATTATGATATAGGGGACTAACCCAGTCATCATGATATAGGGGACTAACCCAGTCATCATGATATAGGGGCCTAACCCAGTCATCATGATATAGGGAACTAGCCCAGTCATCATGATATAGGGGCCTAACCAAGAAATCAAGATATAGGGGACTAACTAGTCATATCATCCATATTTAGGAGACTATCCCAGTCATCACGATATAGGGGACTCAACCAGTCATCATGATATAGGGGCCTAATCCAGTCATCATGATATAGGGGACTAACCAAGAAATCAAGATATAGGGGACTAACTAGTCATATCATCCATATTTAGGGGACTAACCCAGTCATCACGATATAGGGGACTCACCCAGTCATCATGATATAGGGGCCTAACCAAGAAATCAAGATATAGGGGACTAACTAGTCATATCATCCATATTTAGGGCTCACCCAGTCATCATGATATAGGGGACTAGCCCAGTCATCATGATATAGGGGACTAACCAAGAAATCAAGATATAGGGGTCTAACTAGTCATATCATCCATATTTAGGGTACTAACCCAGTCATCACGATATAGGGGACTCACCCAGATGATATAGGGGACTAACCCAGACATCATGATATAGGGGACTAACCAGTCATATCATCCTGATTTAGGGGACTAACCCAGTCATCACGATATAGGGGCCTAACCAAGTCATCATGATATAGGGGACTAACCCAGTCATCACGATATAGAGGACTAGCCAGTCATCCTGATATAGGGGACTAGCCAGTCATCATGATATAGGGGACTAACCAGTCATCAAGATATAGGGGACTAAGCCAGTCATCATGATATAGGGGACTAACCCAGTCATCATGATATAGGGGACTAACCCAGTCATCATGATATAGGGGACTAGCCCAGTCATCATGATAGGGGATTAGACAATGTATCTTGATCATGAGATTATTTCCAATACTTTTGCTGCTCTTGGATCAAACTATCACCAATTTCATACCAATCATAACAGATTCAAAGGCAGTTTCTTCAAATGATAAACCATGGTAAATGGTACCATCCTACATGTTTTCAGTCCTATCTAATTGTAGTAGCATATACCTCTAGTTTTTCTTTGCTTTAGCAAGGAATTGCAGGCTTCACACACATACAATATCGATAGGTCATGAAGCTTATACAATCAACATCCGACTTGTGTAGAGTACAGATCTAGAGTCTACTTACTTACAAGTTGAAACTTCTTAATCAGGATTTAAATGAAATATCTGAAAAATTTCATTTTGCTTTGATGTAAACTTTTCCTGACAGCAAAATAATTCCAGAAAGATTAAAATTTCCAGCACATTTGACAAGATGGAGCGGAGGCTGGGTTTGCTCCTGAGCATATGATCCCTGTTGTAATAGTAATGTAAAACTGTACTGAGTGGACAGTCCTACATGTACATAGAGTTCCACTTGTTATACACCCTGTCACTACCAGTCATGTATAATGATGTAGGTGTATCTAGGATGTTACACTAAGTCTATGCACAGTCAGATCCGTGGTTACAGTTAAATAAGAGACCTGTCCTCAATTACTCTCCCTCAGCTCTCATCCAGGCATGTACAAGCACTTTGTATTAAGGTTAAAGAGACAAATAAGATCAATTAGTGTATACATCTGTACAAGTAGATTGTAAGGGTGAAACTGAATCAGGTCTCTTGGACATATCACACATACTTAAGTGCAGACACCCATAGTAAATGTATAGGCACCAATAGTGTAGACACTGATAGCTAATGTACAAACACCCATAGTGTACCAACACCAATAGCTAATGCACAACACCCATAGTGTACCAACACCAATAGCTAATGTACAAACACCCATAGTGTACCAACACCAATAGCTAATGTACAACACCCATAGTGTACCAACACCAATAGCTAATGTACAGGCAACCATAGTGTACCAACACCAAAAGCTAATGTACAACACCCATAGTGTACCATAGTGTACCAACACCAATAGCTAATGTGCAGGCAACCATAGTGAAGATACCAATAGCTAATGTGCAGGCAACCATAGTGAAGACACCCATAGCTAATGTACAGACACCCATATAGTGTACAGACACCCATAGCTAATGTACAGACACCCTTAGCTAATGTAGACACCCATAGCTAATGTACAGACACCAAAGCTAATGTACAGACACCAATATAGTGTATAGACACCCATAGCTAATGTACAGATACCCATAGCTAATGTACAAACTCCCATAGCTAATGTACAGACACCCATATAGTGTACAGACACCCATAGCTAATGTACAGATACCCATAGCTAATGTACAGACACCCAAAGCTAATGTACAGACATCCATAGCTAATGTACAGACACCCATGGCTAATGAACAGACACCCATGGCTAATGTAAAGACACCCATGGCTAATGACAATCACCTATGGCTAATGTAGACACCCATAGCTAATGTACAAACACCCATAGCTAATGTACAAACACCCAACACTACAATAGTGTAGAGATACCAATAGTGTACAGACACCCAAAGTATAGAGACACCCAAAGTATAGAGACACCCATAGTGTAGAGACACCCATAGTATACAGACACCCAGTGTAGAGATAACCAGTGCAGAGATACCCATGGTGTACAGACACCCATAGTGAAGAGATACCCATAGTGTAGAGATGACAATAGTGTTTAGACACCCATAGCGTAGAGATACCCATAGTGTACAGATATCCATAGTGTACAGACACCCATAGTGTAGATATACCCATAGTGAACAGACACCCATAGTGTAGAGACATCCATAGTGTAGATACACCCAGTGCAGAGATACCCATAGTGTACAGACACCCATAGTGTTCAGACACCCAGTGCAGAGATACCCATAGTGTACAGACACCCAGTGTAGAGATACCCATTGTGTACAGACACCCATGCATAGCTAATGTGGAGGCACCAATAATGTACAAGCACCCACAGTTTATAACTATAAGCACTGTAGATTCTATCATCATACTTACAATTGATGCCAAATAAGATTGTAGCTTTAGAGTAAGATTAGAGTAACTCTGAAATATATTGAAAACAAAACAGAAACTTTTATCTAAAGTCAACATAGAACAAAGGAAAAAAATAACTGAAAGTGAAAAAATCATGATAAACTTTCCCTATTTGCCAAGTACACATTTAGAAGCTTTGATACGAGATAAAGTGTAAAGGTATCACACTGCTTATCATTTATACCACAGGTAGCAATGAGTATATATTTTTCAACTTACAACTTTTGAATCGTAATATTAAACTCGGTGGTTTTATCAACCAACACCTCATACAGCAGTCTATTCAGTAAAGACTCTGACACTTAGCCTTAGAGAAGTGTAGTCTATTCAATAAGGATTTCTGTGGCACAAGGAAGTGTAAACAGTTCTAAGACTACCCTAACACAAAGTTCAACCATTACTTACCGACTACCCTAACACAAAGTTCAACCATTCTAAATACTTAGGTCCCACGGAGGTCCAGCCTCACGGAGGTCCAGTCACACAAAGGTCTAGTCCAGTCACACGGAGGTCCAGTCACTCGGAGGTCAAGTCATACGGAGGTCAAGTCACATGCAGGTCCAGTCACACGGAAGGATGAATATCTGCAAGCTATTCAAAGAAATAAAGTCTGTGAACTAATATGAAAGCATTTTCTCAATATTTCCTTGTTTTAACAAGATCTGTGTTTAAGGGTTTATATATACTAATACGGATATATATAATCAATGACATTGTAGCTAAAAGAGATGTTTTACAACAAAGATTTTGATCTGCTGATAGCCACCCTCAACCATGTAAATTTCATACATGTGTGTTTTGTTCTTGATAATGACATCAGCTGAAACTAGTATAGATATCATCAGGGTGCTCGTCTTCCTGGTATAGAATCACTACACAAACTAGTATAGATATCATCAGGGTGCTCGTCTTCCTGGTATAGAATCACTACACAAACTAGTATAGATATCATCAGGGTGCTCGTCTTCCTGGTATAGAATCACTACACAAACTAGTATAGATATCATCAGGGTGCTTGTCTTCCTGGTATAGAATCACTACACAAACTAGTATAGATATCATCAGGGTGCTTGTCTTCCTGGTATAGAATCACTACTCAATCAACCACTAATAGCCATTATTCTTTCTGTCAATACATTCCTCAATAGTATCACTATTTCTGCCAAGTCTTTGGTTAAGTGTAACTCTTAGCACATAACTGTTAGGAGGAAGCATATATCATTTGTCTACTTCGGGAGTAAAATGTTGTTGAAGTGCTTTTTAACACTATCTTAGCACTTAACTGATAAGATGAAGCATACCACCAGAGTTTACTAGTAAAATATACAAATAAGCCACCATCTTTAGCCACAAAACAGCAATAACACATGCTCTTGCAAAATTCTGCCAATCTTTTAATTTGTACACAGGTAGCCTGCCAATGTTACTTTATTCCATTTCATTAATACACAACCTAGCCAGTCTGTGGGTGCCAAGAGAGAGCCAAATCCAGCAACAGGCCATGTATGTATACTATGTGTGAGACTATTACAAGTCTACCAGCGTTTACGAGGCTGTAATTGAGACAATTTCACACCATATTAGCTCTACATTACTACCAACATTTACTTGTGTGTGGCCAGTAAGCTATGTATCCCTATCTCAACAAGTCACAACATCCTTATCTCAACAACAGTCACTACATCCCTATTTCAACAAGTCACAACATCCCTATCTCAACAACAGTCACAACATCCCTATCTCAACAACAGTCATTACATCCCTATCTCAACAAGTCACTACATCCCTATCTCAACAACAGTCACACCATCCCTATCTCAACAACAGTCACACCATCCCTATCTCAACAACAGTCACACCATCCCTATCTCAACAACAGTCACTACATACCTATCTCAACAACAGTCACAACATCCCTATCTCAACAACAGTCAAAACATCCCTATCTCAACAACATCTACAACATCCCTATCTCAACAAGTCACTACATCCCTATCTCAACAACAGTCACAACATCCCTATCTCAACATGTACAACATCCCTATCTCAACAACAGTCACTACATCCCTATCTCAACAACAGTCACAACATCCCTATCTCAACAACATTCACTACATCCCTATCTCAACAACAGTCACAACATCCCTATCTCAACAACATCTACAACATCCTTATCTCAACAACAGTCACTACATCCTTATCTCAACAACAGTCACAACATCCCTATCTCAACAACATTCACTACATCCTTATCTAAACAACATTCACTAAATCCCTAAACAAAAACATGAACAAAGTTGGCGGTCAGCTTTTAGAAGCATCTTGTCATTGGCAGATCCTGCGTTTTTATTCCAGCACACAAAGCCATTTTATGATGAAGAGAATTATTGTTGAACATGATCAAGAAATCTGAACAACACATTAAATGCTATGTGCACATACATTTCTTACATTTTCAGCTTTGGTTTGGCTCAAGGATTAAATATTTTGTTTAAGAAAAAAATCTCCAATGAATTGTGGAAACTTTTAGTATGGCCTGGACCTGAAAATGGGCATAAAAGATTGACTATAGTGAAATACTTCCAACTGTACAATGCATCTTTCTACTGAATTCAGGGTTTTATGTCTCAGTACACCTTTATGTTCCCGGTACAAACCTTTGATAACAAACATCAAGTTGTCTGCAGACATATACATGTATAAACCTGGGACATCTAGAAATGTTTAAATTAATGACATTTCCTTAGGAGATCCAATTATCTTAGAAAAGACATGACTTTCTGTGGAGTAACAAGATCTGTGTCCAATGTTGTCATGGCAACCTATTTGTAGAATATCCTAAGCTGACCCAGAGTGTCCCAGAAATCTATAGAAACGTCTGACACCAAGTCCTGTGGTCACACAGTATAGTCTGTAATCCTCTCAAAGGTCAACTAGGACATTCTACATTAGTATGGCAGCAGATTAGGAGATTTTACTCCAGGAACCTGGCATTCAATTTGTTACGGGAAATGTAAAAAGGAAGGGCACTATGTCCAGACTGGTGGCTGTGCCTCCATACAACAGCACTACGTCAGGCTGTATCCAGTCTGTCACTGTGCCTCCATACAACAGGGAAATGTAAAAAGGAAGGGCACTATGTCAAGACTGGTGGCTGTGCCTCCTTACAACAGCACTACATCAGGCTGTATCCAGTCTGGTGGCTGTTCCCCCATACAACAGCACTACGTCAGTCTGTGTCCAGACTGGTGGCAGTGCCTTCATACAACAGCACTACGGCAGGCTGTGTCCAGACTGGGGGCTGTGTCTTCATACAACAGCGCTCCGTCAGGCTGTGTCCAGACTGGTGGCTGTGTCTTCATACAACAGCACTACGTCAGGCTGTGTCCAGACTGGTGGCTGTGCCTCCATACAACAGCACTACGTCAGGCTGTGTTCAGACTGGTGGCTGTGCCTCCATACAACAGCACTACGTCAGGCTGTATCCAGTCTGGTGGCGGTGGCTGTGCCTCCATACAACAGCACTATGTCAGGCTGTGTCCAGTCTGGTGGCTGTGCCTCCATACAATAGCACTATGTCAGGCTATATCTAATCTGGTGGCTGTGCCTCCATACAACAGCACTACGTCAGGCTGTGTCCAGACTGGTGGATGTGCCTCCATACAACAGCACTACGTCAGGCTGTATCCAGTCTTGTGGCTGTGCCTCCATAAAACAGCACTACGTCAGGCAGTGTCCAGACTGGTGGCTGTGCCTCCATACAACAGCACTACGTCAGGCTGTGTCCAGACTGGTGGGTGTGCCTCCATACAACAGCACTACGTCAGGCTGTGTCCAGTCTGGTGGCTGTGCCTCCATACAATAGCACTATGTCAGGCTATATCTAATCCGGTGGCTGTGCCACCATACAACAGCACTACGTCAGGCTGTGTCCAGTCTGGTGGCTGTGCCTCTATACAACAGCACTACGTCAGGCTGTTTCCAACAGCACAAGGACACAACAGCCAAACTACATCACAAGGGTTATTTTGAAAACTTTATGGGAAATGTGTTCCAAAATACTATTGGTTGTGTATTGTTTTTGATACCAAGACACTAATTTAGTCTATTGCTTTATACCAGTACACTGATTTAGTCTATTGTTTTATACCAGTACACTGATTTAGTCTATTGTTTTATACCAGGATACTGATTTGGTCTATTGTTTTATACCAGGATACTGATTTAGTCTATTGTTTTATACCAGTACACTGATTTAGTCTATTGTTTTATACCAG